CTTGATTGAGTAGTTGACTCATCCATTGGAGCACAATTGTAATATTAAATTTCAAGAATCAAAATATTTATCAGTCACTGTATTTTCAGTGGTATTAGTAGTCTATATTTTTAATTGCCGCGAGCTCAAAACATGTCAAATGATTGTGTCAATCCTCAACAAAAATAGTAATTCATAAAGACGGAAGACCCCGGTTAAATTCTTACTTGCGTACACCATGTTTATATTTTATTGAAGACTATGAATTTAATACACTCCAGCTAAGATTTTGGTAAGAACTTGTAAGATCTCAGCATGGCTATAAAGACTGACACGTAGCCGTCCATGCGTGATGCCTAAATCTCATAAATCAATACGCACCAGCGCACGAAACAAGTTCAAGTACGAGTATGAACTCGACAACAAAAATAATGGCATCGATCGCGCATCAACAATGCGCTTTAAAACAACAAAGCACGTATAAAAGAATTATTTGAATGATATCATAGAGCAAATGAAGATCACATACAAAAGTAGCAATATTGGATGAATACATATTATATACCTACAAACATACATATATGTATATATACATGCAAACATACATACACACACAGACACCTATATATATATATATATATCTATTTATAATATAATATATATATATATCTATTTATAACATTAATATGTAAATATAGAATATTTATAGTATATAAATCTATTTATAATATATATATATATATATATATATTAAAAAAAGTATATATAATGAAAAACAATTAATATGTATTAATATATATATGCATGTATGTATATGTGCACACGTATGTAGTAATATATAAATAAAAATATTTATACACACACCACACATATAGAATATATACAAATACAAATATATATTATAATATGCATACACACATACATAATACAGTATAGATATATATATATTAAAATGTAAATACATAAACATATATGCAGATGTACATATATATATTAATACGAAATGCATACATGCATTTACGCATACACAAAACATATACACTACATATATATAAATATGTATATATTATACAGTATAGATATGTATATATTAAAATGTAAATACATAAACATATATGCAGATGTACATATATATATTAATACGAAATGCATACATGCATTTACGCATACACAAAACATATACACTACATATATATAAATATGTATATATTAACATATATATATACCTACATATATATAAACATGTATATATATACAATAATACGCATCTCATAAAATCTTTTATATATATATATCTCTCTTTACATATATACATATACAAACACAAACGAACACTAACTCACACACACACATATATATATATCTATTTATATACCCATATATATATATATATATATATGGGACTATATATATATATATTATATAATATATACAAATATTGAACTCAATGTAAGTTCTCATATATATATATATATATATATATATATAAATACACATATATATAATATAATATATATAACTCTATCTTTTTATATATATGTATATAGACATACAATAAGGAATATATATATATATAATACTATAATAATAATAATATATTACTTTATACATACAGGTATATATATACACACACATATATATATCTATATTTACATATATATATATATATATATATACGTTTACACACACACACACATATATATATATATATAATATACATACCTACATACACACACACTCATATATATATGATTGTGTTTGTATATACATTTATATCCATACACACATACATACATATATATTGGGTGTTTGTAAATACATATACATACATATACATATACATTTACACCCATATATATACATTTATTTATACATACACACACATATATATATAATATATACATGTGTACACACACAACAGACATATACATATAAATATATTACACATATATATACACATACATACACACACAACACACACAGACAGATATATACAGATATTACACAGATATATACGTATACACATACACACAGATATACAGATATACACACACATACATATAAACACATATATACATATACACACAAATATAGAGAAATACAAACATATACATATTATTTATACATATACACACATATATAGACATATCCACACACATATATACATATACATATACCACATATATATATACTTATACATGTTTATATGTACACCTATATATACATATACATATACGTATACACACATATATACATGTACATGTATACACATATAGATACATATACATTTACGTATACACACACACACATATATATATATATATATATATTATATGCACATATACATACACAAATACACACATATATATATATATATATATTATGCACATATACATACACTCCTAAATATATAACATAATATACACACATATATATACATATAACATA